CCTGTTGGGCGCTGTAAACGCTTCTGCGCTTCACCTTACACAAGGATATAGGGGGGTGCCCAATAAAAAAAAAAAAAATCCTGGCCAATGCCAGTCATGTGAGCAAGCTTCTACAATCTTCCTTGTGGCAGCTGGACGTGACAGTTTAACCTGCCAACATGCACTAAAACTATGACAAGAAATTAATGAAGAGCTTCCTGTGAATAAGAAAAAGTTCAGAATCACCAGAAGACAAGAGTGCCTTTGACACACCTGATGACCCTTTCAGTGATGCACTGAAAACAGGATTTTTTGATGCAGTCATAGATTTGATCATTGTATCTCCAGAGGACAGATTCACAACAGTGGATCAGGTGACAGGAATGTTTGGATTAATGCTGAACTTCAATAACATACTGGAACTGTCAAGTGAGTCACTGACAAACACTGAACACTTAAGAAACAATCTGAGCTCTGATGGTGAATCAGATTTGATGAAAAATTAGCATAAAAATTCATAAGAATTTGTACTCTCTTTTATTTACGAGAAACAGCTGAAAAAACTGTATCCAAACCCCTTGGATGCACTGAAGATGGTTGTCACTCCCCCAGCTAGAGAAAGGCACTACTCTCACTGAGGATGGTTGTCACTACCCCAGCTAGAGAAAGGCACTACTCTCACTGAAGATGGTTGTCACTCCCCCAGCTAGAGAAAGGCACTACTCTCACTGAGGATGGTTGTCACTCCCCAGCTAGAGAAAGGCACTACTCTCACTGAAGATGGTTGTCACTCCCCCAGCTAGAGAAAGGGTGGTTGTCACTCCCCAGCTAGAGAAAGGCACTACTCTCACTGAGGATGGTTGTCACTCCCCCAGCTAGAGAAAGGCACTACCTCACTGAGGATGGCTGGCTACTCCCACAGAGAAAGGCACTACTCACTGAGGATGGTTGTCACTCCCCCAGCTAGAGAAAGGCACTACTCTCACTGAGGATGGTGTCACTCCCCCAGCTAGAGAAAGGCACTACTCTCACTGAGGATGGTTGTCACTCCCCCAGCTAGAGAAAGGCACTACTCTCACTGAGGATGGTTGTCACTCCCCCAGCTAGAGAAAGGCACTACTCTCACTGAGGATGGTTGTCACTCCCCCAGCTAGAGAAAGGCACTACTCTCACTGAGGATGGTTGTCACTCCCCCAGCTAGAGAAAGGCACTACTCTAAACTGAGGCTCATCACAACATACCTAAGGTCATGAATGGCTCAAAATCACCTCAGTGAGCTGCCATAATCAGCATCAACCATTAGCTGGGACAGCAGCTGCCATATAAATGTGTACAAGTTGGGTAAATTATCTTAAGTAATTCAGAAGTTATAATGGGACACATTATGTTAGTGCTCAAATGGTTGTGTAGCTGAACAGTCATATGTCTAGTTAAGTCAGGTGTTACAGCTGTATGATCACCACACAACCAACAGAAACCCTAAAACACCTCAAAGTAAATATAATAATTACATCTGTCATCCTTCCTTCCAGGGACACCACTTTTAATATTTTATTTGGTTAATTCCAGACAAATTTATTGTGCACATGAGAGACCCCCGTACACAAGGGGTTAATTACGTTACAAAAGACTCATTTTTCCATACTGAATGAATGCCATGTCTTTCTGATAACAGAACTTCCCCAAAGCAACCCTCATCAATCACACACCAGTGACCTTGAGCACTACAGTGTCTAAAGAAGAATTAAAGATGCCATTAAAAGCAAATTGTTCCTAAAGTAGTCATTAAACAAATATTTTACTTATCTTAAGGACCAGCCATATAATGTGTGATCAGAATCAGCCCAACAACTCAGAACTATTCCCCTGTTGCTGGATGGAAGACATAATGGCTGCAGTCACAAGAGACCGAATGCAAAAAGGACGTGGGTGTGTATGTTGACTATAAACTGAAGTTCTCGAGCCATTGTGAGAAGAAAGTGAATCAAGCAACTAAACTAGTAGGTCTTATTAGAAGGTCGTTCAGACATCCGGTTGGTCAGTCCCTCGTAATGATCTTCAAGAGTGAGGTGCTTCCACGTTTGGAATACTGTCACCCCGTCTGGTCCCCGAGATATGCTCGGGAATGTCAGTTGATTGAAAATGTCCAAAGGAGGGCCACCAGACTGGTGCCTGCACCATGGCACCTCAGTTATCCAGAGAGATTAGAACGCCTGCAACTGTCTAGCTTATACAGTACTACAGACGAGCAAGGGGTGACCGAATTGAAGTATACAGTATAAACATCTCAAGGGGCACTACTCAGTCAAGTGTAAATACCTGGAGCTGGTGGATGCTTGCCCACAAGGGGTCACAGCTCAAGACTGAAGAAGCCACAAGTCTAGAAGACTGCGAGAGCAAACTTTTTCAGAGTGAGAGTTGTGAACTCTTGGAACAACCTGCCAGAAAGTGTTGTGATGGCACCGAGAGTGAGCTCTTTCAAGACCAGACTTGACCAACACTGAAGCAGGTTCAGATACATTCAGGAGCCAGTGTATGCCCAGTAATTGTCGACAGTGCAATACAGAAACGTGACTGACCGTCCAAGTGGGAACGAGCGGATCAGTGTCGAAGAGGATAAAAGTAAAAAGTAAAAGGACCGATGATCATGTTTATTTTGCCCTAAGATAGATCTGCTAATAATCATAAAATATTAATTTCAAATCTCTGTTGTCAGGCACTGTACACTTTTTAAGTTTCAAAATATATAACTTCAGGCAACAATACAGAGACCAGACAACTGATGAACACCTATAAGATAACCAGAAAGAAGAAGAAAGGCCTTTAAAATAAATTATCATAAAAACACTGACAATGCTGACAGTGAAATAAACTTTTATGGAAGATTTCAAGCCAAGGTCTACACACATGAAGCACAAAAAGTTGTGTATATCATCTCATATATAAAAACAAGGGGCTGGGTTGGTTGTAAATTCTTCAAAGGTTTGAGATGATAATATAATGTACTCAAACTTTTAGTCTATTTCAAAAATGTACTAAATTCCAAAGACTCCCAATGTTCTGAACATTTGGCCTCAATATCTGGAAAGTTAATCTGCAGGATCAACCAAATGTACTGCATGTCTGTGATATGAGGTGTACTTGTGAGTGTGATGGTCACAGTCATGGATAAAGTCTCAACAGAAAAGTATGATAACACTATTATATAAGGTCGTACATCTCTGTTTGTACTGTACTACACTGTGCAGTATCACCAACTACAGTATCTTCAGTATAAAGATCTAGAAAACTAAAATCTTGAAATCAATCAGACGGTCATGAATGATGATAAGATCAATACATGAATAAGAAATAAATTATCTTTGCCATCATCAATAATTATACAAGAATTTACTACAAGGAACAAAGGAATCAAGGAACTTAAACAAGAAATGACTCATAAAAATTAATAAACTACTATTAAATAAATCTTTTTTTTCTTGCTATATTACAAGACAGTGCAGAAACTTAAGTGTTAATAAAAACCAAAGCAAATATGTTATATGTTAATTTCCACAATTTGTGGATTGGCAAACACTGGGCAAGGATGGCCAGCTTATAAACATATAATATTCTCTAATTATCTGCCTGTATGAAGGATTATATAAGGAATATTCAATAAAAAAAACATTCCCTGACCATCACTTGTGGTTCAACAGAGGTCTGGGTAAAGCTCCAGTGATCAATACAACCAATGAGCTTCCACTTTAAAGTTATTTCTACTGTAAAAGGTTGATGGCTGATTTGGCATGATAATATATCACTCTCCCTCATAATTGACTTAAGTGTCAAATTAAGTTGCAACCAAATCAAATCACAACTGGTAAGTCATTTTCGGCATGTATATGTCAACAAGCATGAGGAGAGCCTGCCAGTGCTTATAAAAGAGTAAATTATATGAAGATTATTATTATTTGTACCTTTTTTCTATACAATTATCTTGGTTAAGATTTTGCCTAACTCATTAATTTATAATAATTCAGATAAATTTTAAAAATATTGGAGGAAAGAAGTGGGGAAACACAGGGGTTGGGAGAACACTGCTCGGCCACACAGAGTTAGTGATAATGGTCTGAGCAGAGTGAGTCGGGTGTAACACTGACAGACTGTTATGATCCAAGGTGATACTTTCAAGACATATTAATACCTGGCTCAATTAATTGGCCACCACTATGAGGTCACTCTGTAAATGGCAAACAAGACAAAGATTCCTGAATTCTATGATCAAAGATAAGTTCAAAGTCAAGATGCAAGTTTCTTGTACTGAATAACTTTACCTGCACATTAGATTGTTGTAAGCACAATATACATGACGATTTGTATAATTCAAGAAATAATGTAGCTTTGTAGATTTATGTAAGTGATCTAGTACAGTACAGGGTACATGTACACTATACAGTATTGACCTCTATACTTTAGTAACTCCTGTAGTAAGATAATTACTATATGGTCTCCACCACTGAGAATGTAAAGGTTTTATTATAGGACAAAACAAATATATAATTTCAAGACATTAATGAGAAACTTCCAGAATTTTAGGACTCCCTGAAAGCTTATCAATGTGACTTTGAAATTTGTTAAAATATCTGTCACGTGAAGGTGAAAAACAGAAGCTGTTATACCTAATAGTACTTACTACCTTCAGCAGAATTCCTGGGATTCTATTAGCATTACTGACGATCTGTACAGCATTAAATTTTAATGCCAGCCACTACTGAACAACTGAAACCTAAGCTTTAGTCAAAGGAAGGAGCTGTCTTAAACACTACTAAACTCCTCCTCACTCAATAGAAGCAACAATATATAAAGTTTTCATTAGTGGATAAATCGTATTTGATCATCAACTGTTGATCATATAAACTTAATTTCTTCTATAGTGATTAAATATTTGAATATAATAATACAGGTATACGTGAGTTTGTGACAGGGAAGCTGTTTGTCACTGAGGGTTCAAGAATGTGAATCCTCTTGGATTTACTTACATTCAGTGCTTGGTTCACAGGGATGAAGAAGGTGTTCTTTCCAGTCATGTTGAAAACATTAAGGAGACCTAAGCCAGAAACACGTTTTTCAAATTCTCTGAAAAAATATACAATAGTCTAAATTAATCAAAATTTGTACTAAATGGAAACTCAAAAATATTTTGAAAATACTGTAATAAAATTTGTATAGATATTTGCAAACTATCATGTATTTCCTCATCATTTCTCTCTCCTGAACATTTCAATATCTTCTTCATATCCATCACAACCCTCTTAACTATTACTGTAGTATCCTAACTTGTGCCTCTCTCATCCCTTAAGCACTAAAGTTTTCCTTTCAAATAAACATCTTCTACTTGGTAATCACCAACAAGTATATCACTCTTTTCCTTGTACACAAGAAGGAAGCTTGTTGTATTAACACAATATACAGTACAAGTAAAATTAGGTACAAAACACCCCACTCTGCTACATACATACCGGTAAGTAAGTAACTATTATCTGTGTCTCCAAACTCCGGCCATTTGTGAGGAAAACAGCAATGTGTGTAAACCATACATATTTAGAGTCGTGTTGTCACACACGAGCATGATGGGCTCGAGCCAGACAAGTTAAACCTTACCCTTTCCATCAGAGATGCTGAGTATCTGACAAAATCACCTGGGAGTGTCATTATGTTGGTCAGTGAGCAGACTGGGCAGTGAGAGAGATGTAATGCATGAAGTTACACCAGTGTCCTAGCCTCCATCTCTCCACAGCAAGAGGAGGTATGCCTGGAATATATGCCAGTGTTCACTGCTTCCTCTCATCAAAAAAAAGGAAGTACTTCTGGCATCTGAACAAATGTTCTTCCCTTCACAAAGGGAACAGATTTTCCTCGAGCTTACCAAGAATTTGTGACTGATGATCAGGCACAAAAAAATGCAAGTGATGAGGCAGGGTATAGAGGAAGTTCCCTTGTACTGTATATAACCCAGGCACGTCCATCCCTGTTCTTATAGAATCTTTTCTCTTCTGCTTCAAGCACCACAGGAGTTCTTTGAACTGTTACCTTTGCATTACAGTATGTATTGAATGTATTTCACATGTTTTGTATATTAATTTGTATTGTATTTTGTACTTGTAAGCAGGTTGAAACAATTTTGTACCATCTAATTTTCATATTTATTGTTTCTGTACCATTTAGTCACACTGTATTATAATGTATTGACTGAGGTGTTTATTATATTATCTGAAGGCACATATTTACAATCAGTTATATGTTTACAAATTTATGTTGCCAAGGATGCATTCAGCTTTTCTGCCGTTCTCTGGGTCTGTGTTCCCGCCTTGTGTGAGTATGGTTAAATTTTCACTTGACACTCAAACCCGGTTGGTGGGGTGTGGGCCACAGATGTTACCAGTCTGCCTTTGGGCTTTAGAATTTGTCATTCATCAGTACTGCAGCATTATAGAGATAATGTGTGTTTTGTTTTTGTTTTTTTTGCGGGATTAGCCAACCCGGGCACAGCTCAATGACCCACATCAGGGCCTGGGGGGCGAAAATATAATACAGTAATAATAATAAAAATAATAATAAAAATAAAAATAATAATAATAATAATAATAATAATAATAATAATAATAATAATAATAATAATAATAATAATAATAATAATAATAATAATAATAATAATAATAATAATAATAATAATAATAATAATAATAATAATAATAATAATAATAATAATAATAATAATAATAATAATAATAATAATAATAATAATAATAATGTAATAATAATGCAGGAGGTGGGCGCCTCGAACTGGCTAACTACGATACCGATAAGGGCAAATGGTTTCAGTCTCAATAAACAAAAATTTACAGATGCCAATGCTCTAAGGTACGGTAGGCCAGTGGAAGGTTTGCCCTCCCAATGGGTGTGTGGCTCTTCCTATGACGCCGATCACGCCATGGTGTGCAAGAAAGGGGGCTTCATATGCATGAGGAAGTGAGGCCTGCATGTTGGCCTGGCGAGTTATTGCTAGGCATCAACATACCTACAGTAGGTTAAAGCTGGGCGGCGCATTATAATGATTTATAATACATTATTCTCATGATATATTATTTATTATAATAGAATGTTAAGTGTTGCAAGTCATCCCATTTTGTAATTAGCATTAACAGGATTTGGTGTTGTGTCATTATTTTATTTTGTATCTTGAGGATTGTTTGTGTAATGACAGCAGTATACGAATGATTTAAGTGTTTAGGAAGGTTTGGAATTGTCACAATTAGGGTAAGATGCACCATTATTTCAGGTCAAAACCTATCGACAATAAATGGTTTGATGACATGCTGTTTTTTACTGACTGGTGAACGCCCGTGCGATCTGGGTATATGAATATCCTGTACCCCAAAATGCTTCACTCCTTGCTTAGTTTTTTGCCTACCAAATTATTTCCCATTTCTTATCCTCATTCTCTAGTGAGATCCTGTGGGGGCGGGTCTTATTCTCCTGCCTTTGTCCTAGGCTCCTCACAGGTTCAGAGCCTCTGTACAAATATTCTGAAACTTCATCTTATCGTATGTTTTCCTACTTTCAGCTTCTTCTTACTGATACAGTAGTTAACTGTGTGTGATTAGGTAAGACCAGTTCAATCATCTTCATACTCTTGTATTTCACTTGTTGTTTACAAGTAAGCAGCAGGGGCATTGTGCTTCACTGCCTTCCTTTCTTTAACGACAGTATAAAGTAAGGTACACTATCCATTTACAACTGGATGGACTGGAAATGCACAAGGATTGAACAGGTGACCTCTAGGGTAGAAGGTAAGTGCTGTATCCACTCGGCAGCCACAGTATTAGTTATAACATGCAAGAAAGCCATTTTTTCTAAAGAACAGTTTTTGTGATATAGTCCAGAATGAGACGTCTAGCTTTATACATAAGTATGTAAAAGCCGAACATTAATTCGGCAGGCCAACATACAGTCAATTAAAACATCAAATAATTACTTAAATACATAATATTAAATAACACTTACGAGATACTGTAAGCATCAACCAGACCATAGAGGTGAGGCTTCAACAGCAGCTTCTGAGCATCTGGGTTAATGTAGCCAGCATCAATAGTTACATTGGGTGCGGTCTTGATTCGTGTGGGAGTAATCACTTGGTCTACGATGTGAAGAACCTGGTAAATAGTTAACCAATATACTATATGTGAATCATGCATAAATTTTACATTTCATTTCTTAATTTCCTTTCATACATCTCACAGTAAGATGTAAAAGATGGCTTAACAATTTTGTTATTTCAAACTCTCCAAGTGTGAATTATGCTGTGCTATAAATCATAACATTTTCCAAGCCTATGGTTGACAATCAGATCTAAACCTCCAGTTTTAAAGTACATTACTGTATAGATGTGTATTATTAACACATTTAGTAAAGAATCTGCATAACTAGTTTGGTTATCAATGAAAAAGTTGCACATCCCAGCACTAATACAGTATATCAAATAGAAAAAAGGAAGTTACAGACAAATCAATTTACAGCACAATATAATACAATACAGTAAATATAGTACAGTACAGTACATAGAACATGTGGAGTGAGATACAGCACTGTATTAGGAAACAAAATCAGTTACAGACAACAATAATGCAGAAAAAATAATAAATGAATCAAAACAGAAATATGTGTGAGACTATTATGCAGTGAGTAGCCTATGTTAAGAGGTATTATGTGTACAGTACAGTGAGAGATGATTCAACTGTGGGGAATAAGATAAACTTTATGGTCCTCCTGTTGATGTCCTTCACTGGTTACTGAGGCCTCTTCACTACTACTAATTCATTAAAAGTTACAATTTTCTTCTAATTTGGTTATATAGTACAGTAATACAACTATTAAATCATACTAAGTATTCAGTGTTGTGCAAGACTTTTACTGTAGTACTGTAAAATTTAAGCCACATCTCAGGTTTTAACACATACAGTACTGTAGTTATCTCTAACATGGAAGCTAAACTTGATTGACTTGTACAGTAAAGTCTGATTTATCTTCGTGTACAGTAGTGTTAAGTACAGTAGCTCTTGCATCAGTTATAAATAAGTGAGACACCTTACAGTACAGTACAGTATGTGAGGTAACTAACCTGCTTGAGCCCCTCACGATTATGGGCAACATGGTTGGCAGCAATGATTTTGGCATTGTTGATGTAGTAGTTGTAATCCTCCCAGCCCTTGAGGGCAGATTTGCCCGAGGGCAGGCGGGACATGTAGACACGAGGATTGCCAGACAATTCAGTGTTCATCTCATCTGGCATCTCTTGCACCATGTACGGCAGGTTCACTGAAACAAATTTAAAATACCAAAATCTAGCCATGATGTCACTAGAATTATTTTTTTTTGGGATTAGCCCACCCAGGCAGAGGTCACTGACCAATATTGGGGTCTGGAGGCAAAAATAAATAAATTGAACCATAAATAAATAAATATAATTCAAATAAGTGTTAATGTATTAATTCTAGCTATCATTTTATGGCCATTTTCACGCTTATGTGTATTTATCATGATGACCTGATGACAAAACTGTCTTTTACAGTCTCTCGTCACATTTTTAATGTGAGGTAATTTCTTAAAACTGGCACTTCTCCCTTCCATATTCAGAACTGTGACCAAACCATCCCCTCAGCCTGCCTCTACACAATACTGCACTAATACAATACACTGCTCTCAACACCCAGCTGACCTCTTAGGGTAGCTCTGCACAGGGTCTCCTGTCTTTTCTGAATTTCGTTGTCACGTTGCAACTCATCACATTAAGATATTATTTCTTTATTATATTGAGCTAATAAAAACCTAACAAATGTATAGCAAGAAATTTAATTGAAGATATGAGCTTTGTGTACTACTGTGCCAGTATATGACCAAAATAATGATATTCTAATAATTAAATGGCACCCATCTTGGTTTTATGTCTTTTTGGACTTAAAGCAAAAAAGGAGAGGGTTATTCCTGCCTAATTTGTTACCGGCATCCTACCCATACGGTTACCTAAACCAAAAACAGCACACCAGCTGAAGTACTGTACAGTATGTTAGGGAGTAAAAAATGTTCATTAATTCAGAAAATTTGTACAGCTCCTCCCCGACTTACGACCTACTCGACTTACGTCCAACCGCACTTGCGACCTGCCTCAGTCGTACCAAAATTTGGTCAAATTACGTATTTTCGAGTCCCAAAGTCAGTACACTGACAAAATTTTCATCTGTAATTCACTTTAAAATGGCTGGCAAGCTTAAAAGTGAGTTGTTTTGTGGTGCTGAGAAGAAAAAGAGACCCCCATTTTCGATTTTCTATGTATTATTTAAGCATTTCCGACTTACGACCTGGATGTCGGTCCCTAACCCCGTCGTAAGTCGGGGAGCAGCTGTATATGCAAAATTAAGTGTAGCAGGAGTGTGTATAGTTTGGGCTGCCTGCATTCAGAATTCAGTAGAGGTGGACAGTAACAAATAAAATTACTTCATTTACAAAGCTCTAAAGACTTTTGAATAAATAAGATACTGTATCTGAAAGTACCGGAAACTCTTACTTTGTTACTTTGTTCTGAGCTTCCTAGTCATCTTTGTGTACAGTCTGTTGTACAGTACAGTAGCTCTTGCATCAGTTATAAATAAATGAAACACCTTACAGTACAGTACAGTACAATATTACATAGCTTTGTTGTTCCTAGCCCCATTGTGGCAACAAAAAGTAACACAAAATCTGGAAATTTGATTTTGTTATGGTTAAACTGAAGACTTGTGTAACATATAAACTGCACACACATAAAAAAATGAGTTACAGTATTATATGTTTCATGACAAAGAATATGTACAGGTGTGGACAAAAATTCCTGAACATATACTTTTTATTATATGTTATATCAGAATCACACAATAAAAAACATAAAAAACATTCCTTAATAATAAAAATCGGAGCAAATATGTTAAAATTACAATCTCCTTCACCTAAAGATGCCAGATAGTGTCCAGGCAATTTTAACCTTAACTGTACACAGGGCTGCCTAATTTATCTCAAAGGTTACGGGCATGACACTCGTTGTGAATAGCGGAGCAATTTCTCCCACAAGAAATACAGCCATTAGATTTTAACTCTTGTTTTACTCAATATATATAGAACATAAAATAAAAAAAGAAACAAGGGCATAATATCAAATAAACATCAATAACAAATAAATATAAATAACAAACACTCTGAGTTTATTAGGCGTATATGTTTACAAGTAAAGTATACAGGGGTACTTTACATGTTGAGTGTGTGAGTGTTTGAATGTTTATGTGCGTAGGTGTGTAACGTAAGTTTTAAACGTAGACTGTTAATTTATCTCTAATGTGCTTGCTGAAGTTGGCATTAGGGGAGAAGGTGAAGGTTTACTGGGGTGAGAGGAGGCCAGGGTCGTCAGCCACCTCACTCTCCTCACTGCCAGGGTCGTCAGCCACCTCACTCTCTCACTGCCAGGGTCGTCAGCCACCTCACTCTCCTCACTGCCGGGGTCGTCAGCCACCTCACTCCACTGCCAGGTCGTCAGCCACCCTCCCACTGCCAGGGTCGTCAGCCACCCTCACCTCACTGCCAGGGTCATCCAGCCACCTCACTCTCCTCACTGCCAGGGTCATCAGCCACCTCCTCTCCTCACTGCCAGTCAGCCAGCAGCCACTCCCACTCACTGCCAGGGTCAGTCAGCCACCTCACTCTCCTCCAGGGTCAGTCACTGCCAGGGGTCAGTTTCAGCCACCTCACTCTCCTCACTGCCAGGGGTCAGTCCACCCTGCCTCCTCACTTCATCAGGACTGCCAGGGTCACAGCCACCTCCTCTCCTCACTGCAGGGTCGTCAGCCACCTCACTCTCCTCAGCCCCAGCCACCTCACTCTCCTCACTGCCAGGGGTCATCAGCCACCTCACTCTCCTCACTGCCAGGGTCATCAGCCACCTCACCTCCTCACCAGGGTCACAGCCACCTCACTCTCCTCACTGCAGGGTCATCAGCTCACTGGGGTCTCCTCCTCCTCACTGGGGGTCATCACCTCTCTCCTCACTGCCAGGGTCGTCAGCCACCTCACCTCCTCACTGCCAGGGCGTCAGCTCACCGTCAGCCACCTCACTCTCCTCACTGCCAGGGTCGTCAGCCACCTCACTCTCCTCACTGCCAGGGTCGTCAGCCACCCACTCTCCTCACTGCCAGGTCGTCAGCCACCCACCTCACTGCCAGGGTCGTCAGCCACCTCACTCTCCCACTGCCAGGGTCATCAGCCACCACACCTCCTCACTGCCAGGGTCGTCAGCCACCTCACTCTCCTCCTGCCAGGTCAGTCAGCCACCTCACTCTCCTCACTGCCAGGGTCGTCAGCCACCTCACTCTCTCACTGCCAGGGCCTCAGCCACCTCACTCTCCTCACTGCCAGGGTCGTCAGTGCCAGGGTCAGCCACGTCATCACTCTCCCTCACTGCCAGGGTCGTCGCCACTCCTCTCCTCAGGGTCATCAGCCAGGCAGTCGTCAGCCACCTCACTCTCCCACTCAGGGTCGTCAGCCACCTCTCCTCACTGCCAGGGTCGTCAGCCACCTCTCTCACTGCCAGGGTCATCAGCCACCTCACTCTCCTCCTGCCAGGGTCGTCAGCCACCTCCTCTCACCGCCAGGGTCGTCAGCCACCTCACTCCCCTCACTGCCAGGTCGTCAGCCACCTCACTCCTCCACTGCCAGGGTCATCAAACACCTCCTCTCCTCACTGCCAGGGTCGTCAGTCAGGGTCAGCCTCACTCTCCTCACTGCCAGGGTCACCTCACTCTCCTCACTGCCAGGGTCATCAGCCACCTCTCCCTCACTGCCAGGGTCGTCAGCCACCTCACTCTGCCAGGGTCAGGGTCAGCTTCTCCTCACTGCCAGGGTCATCAGCCACCTCCTCCTCACTGTCCAGCCACCTCACTCTCCTCACTGCCAGGGTCGTCAGCCACCTCCTCTCCTCACTGCCAGGGTCGTCAGCCACCCACTCTCCTCACTGCCAGGGCCACCTCCTCACTGCCAGGTCATCAGTCATCAGCCACCTCACTCTCCTCACTGCCAGGGGGTCCAGCCACCACTCCTCCTCTCCTCAGCCAGCTCATCAGCCACTGCCCTCACTCTCCTCACTGCCAGGGTCATCAGCCACCTCACTCTCCTCACTGTCAGGCCACGTCAGGCTCACTGCCAGGGTCGTCAGCCACCACTCACTGCCAGGGTCGTCAGCCACCTCACTCTCCTCACTGCCAGGGTCAGTCACTGCCATCAGCCACCTCACTCTCCCTCACTGCCAGGGTCGTCAGCCACCTCACTCTCCTCACTGCCAGGGTCGTCAGCCACCCACTCTCCTCACTGCCAGGGTCGCCACCTCACTCTCCTCACTGCCCATCAGCCACCTCACTCTCCTCACTGCCAGGGTCGTCAGCCACCCACACTCTCTCACTGCCACGTCAGTCATCAGCCACCTCACTCTCCCACAGGTCTCAGCCACTCTCCTCCTGCCAGGGGTCAGTCCAGCCACCTCACTCTCCTCACTGCCAGGTGTCCAGCTCACAGGGTCGTCTCTCACTGCCAAGGTCGTCAGCCACCTCACTCTCCTCACTGCCAGGGTCAGTGCCAGGGTCAGCCACCTCACTCCTCACTGCCAGGTCTCAGCCACCTCACTCTCTCACTGCCAGGTCAGCTCACAGGTCGTCAGCCACCTCACCTCCTCACTGCCCGTTCACTCTCTCACTGCCAGGGTCGTCAGTCATCACTGCCATCCACCTCACTCTCCTCACTGCCAAGGTCGTCAGCCACCTCACTCTCCTCACTGCCAGGGTCGTCAGCCACCTACTGTATCGCTGTCAACTTGCACTGAGAGCTGTTGTTCTCCACTGCCTTCTGTTGAATCATGCGTTGCGATAAAGGTGTTTTAAGGCGCTGGGTCTGGTCGTCGATCCACGTGCTCAACATCCGCTCCATACTCTCTATCTCAGCATCACGGAACCTCGTCACCTTCGTAGCCGTCAGTGGTGTTGCAGACCCGGCCATCTCTTTGATCTCATCAGCACTTTTGACTATCAAATGCACCGTAGAGGGAGCCAAGCCGTGCACGCGCCCAATCACTGACGTTCCTTTTCCGTGTTCATGTCTTTTTACGATATCCAATTTCACGTCCAACGCAACTGCCACACGTGATCTCTTAGCAACATTGCTGGGAGTTTTAGTAGCTGGTCGCTTAGGTATTGCGAGAGCACACAAAACACAACTGCGAGATCACACAAAACACACGCCAGCACGTGTGAGACTGAGGCAAGCGGGAGTGTATGGCGGAGGAATACGTACACACGCTGTCCTCCGCTACGGTTGAGGCGCGAGGATCAAAATTTTTGCCCGTAAGAATTTGCGAATAAACGGGGCAACCATTGTGAATAGTGGAAATGGGTAACAATAAATTTATTGCAGATAAACAGGGTTACGAATACCAAGGTTATGAATAACGGGGTTTGCTTGTATACAGTAATACAGTGCAGTTGAGTCTGAATTTACGCGGTTTTCATTTACGCGTTTGGCCATTTACGCGGTGCCTTGCCAGAATTGAGATGCTTGATTTAAGTGGTAAATTTACTCATTTACGCAGAGAGCAACTGGCGGTCCTGCAGCGCCGCGCCATTTTTGGATTCAAACCTCCCGCCATGTTTGGGTCAGCAGCGCGAGTAGGTTGCGCAGTGTATGTCTCTGTTGCGTTATCGGTGACGTCATATGACGTATCGGACTGTAATTGGGCCACGCATCCTTACCTCCCTCCGCCGCTAGCTGTGATTGGTTTAATGTAATATGACGTGCATGCCTGTTAGAACTTTTATTTCCATTGAAGAAATATCAGCACCAAGCTTTAAAGCATTCAATGATCGTTTAACACTTCTTGTGGGAGGAAATGCTTCAGGTGACATGAAATTAAAGCCCCTACTTGTGTATCACTCTGAAAATCCAAAGGCTCTCAAGACTATGCCAAGTCTAATCTACCTGTGATTTGGCATTCCAATAAGAAGGCTTGGATGACTATGACCCTTTTCCAAGACTGGTTCACTAACTATTTTTGCCCTGCTGTAGAAAGATATAATGCCAGGCATAACATATCTAATAAGGCATTGCTCCTCTTAGACAATGCACCAAGCCACCCAGTAAATTTAAATGCTCTTTCTGATAATGTGAGAGTGGAGTACATCTCCAAGAACACAACTTCCTTGCTCCAGCCAATGGATCAAGGAGTGAAAGCTAACTTTAAGGGATATTATCTAAGAAAAACTTTTTTGCAGCTCATAAAAGCAATTGATGGGGAGGATAAACCTACAATTAGGGACTTCTGGAAAAAGTTCAACATCTTGGATGCTGTGGATAGTATAGCCGAGTCATGGGATGAAGTGAAAACCTCATCTATGAATGGTTCATGGAAAAACATGTGGCCAGAGTGTGTCCATGAATTTAAAGGTTTTTCACAAGCTGAAAGTCTACAGCAAGTTCAACAAGACATTGTGACACTTGCAAATAATGTAGACTTTGAAGAAGTCATAGAAAATGGTGTGGTTGAGTTGCTGGAGTCCCATAGAGAAGATTTGACTAATGAAGATCTGATGATGTTGGAACAAGAGCGAGCTGCAGGACAAGAAGAGGATATAGAACCTCCACCCACCCCACTTCAGTTGACAACAAAGGATATGTCTAACGGGTTTGCACTAATACAGGAAGGTCTGCAAATCTTTTCTGATAACGACCCCAATAGTACAGCGGCATAGCCAAACAATTGTGCATTTTATGATGAAAGCATTAACTTTGGCACAGATATAGAGTAATACATGGTGAATATTTTCAAATATGGAACCACTAGAAACTCAACCTCTGTGGGCGCCATATTGAATTTCAAGATGGCCGCCGTTCAGGATACGCTAAACTACGTATTTCTGTTTTTTACATTTGCATATTTCATTCCAATGCATCAATATACATAATCCGGGTTACGAAAATCATTTGTGATAGTTTTCGAAGTTTATTACAATGAAAAAGACAAGTAAAAGCATTACACTGGAAAATTAAAGTACAAATTTTCCGAACTCCCAAAACTTAAAAAAAATTCTGAACATTCGGCTATTGAGGCCGAATCTCTGTAGATATTTGGCCTTAACAGCCACCTTCACATGCACAAAGTCCAGTGCATTTAAGTGCAGCTTTTTTGCACCTACACTTGCCACCGCAGTGTTTTCTGCAACCGCAAGAGATGAGCTCGTGGCATGACTTTGACACGCCAGAGAGTGTGGTCCAGAGTGGTTCCAGCTCATCACCCGACTTCATCCAACCCCAGTCACATGGTGATGGCAGACTGAGACTGACAAACGCTATTGCGGCCTGTCCCCAGATATGTCCAGCGTGTTAAGCAGCTCTCTTTATGTGCTGCTCCAGAGCTGCTCGTGTTGGTGGGAGATCCTCCAGTGATCTTCATTTTCTTGAAAACAGTTTCTTTCTCAGCACGTTCACGTCACAGCATGTGCTCGTACGGTCATAGAGCAACACGGTGAATCTCTCCAGTGTCGACAGGACACCATCAGGCAGCTCACTTGGGGTGGAAGCCAGACTGAGGAAGGCGGTTGTCACTTCCGGAAATGCATTCCATGTGGCCCAGGCTGCCTTCTTGCTATGACCTGCAAAGGCAGATACCGTGTCGCAGCCCATTATTGCGTGAAACACTGGAAGAGCTCTCGACTTCTCAGGTCCCAGGGCCTTTGCAATCTGATGTGCTGCTATGTAACGTCGATTCTTTCCTGTGCCAAAAGTAAGCCATAGTTCATCTAGTACCTCACTCCATTCATTCGCTAGAGCAACTGCAAGGATGACAACGTCTGTACCGACGGTACGAATGAGTATTCGCCGATGACCACATTCCAAGGCATCAGCTGCATGAACCATCATCCTAGTGTCGGCCTCTTCGTGGTTGCATGGTGCCAAGTTGGCAGTGTCCTTCCGGGGTGGAACAGTGAGTACCTGTTTCTTGTCTGTGACAACCAGCTGTTTACTTTCTTTGACAACCAACTGCATAACCTGTTCTGACAGGAAACTGAAGACTTCCTCTTTGTTGTCACTGTTGCTGAGAAAGTTTTGCCAGTTGCTAGGTAGAGGACCAGAGGCAGTGACGCGCCTTCGAATGCCCTTGCCACGGTTACATCTTACTGTTGCTTTTAGGCTCCCAGATTTCAGGTAGCAATCCCATACCAGGTCAAGTCGAGATCGATATTCGAGCTGTGATTCAATATAGGGAATGAATACAGCTGTGCTGTATTCTTGAAATGCCCTACTGCCTCCTGGCTTGAACATTTCCACAACGGCAGGTCCATCGAGTATAGTTGAGGTGACATGTGGAGTGTCAGTGATCTCGTCAGCAAGCTGTTCAAGGGGTGTGAGTAAGTCGGCCTTCTTGCTGAAGCGGAGTTTCCCATTACTGGGGAGTGCTGGTGGATAGGCCCGGTTTTCATGCCTGAAGAATTCGTCCAAATCACCCTCTCTTGTTTGACAGGTTATGTAGAGCCTGGAGAAGAGTCCACAGTCGTCTTTTGCAAAGCCTAGTTGCTGCTTACTCCTAGTTGGAGACTTGGATTTCACAGAACTGTATAGTGTTAGCTTGTAGAGCTTATTAGTGTCACCAATAGGCTTAGACTTGTCTTCAAGGCGTTCTCTTACATATGAATGGAATTGTTCTCGTCCAAGCTTGACAACATTTTGCACACTCTTCACAGCTTCTGGACACAAAACTTCCTTTGTATGAAGAACCATTAGGTCAGCACTTTCTTCTTCAAATGGGTTTCCCATTTCTTCCATGACAAGTGAAAGTGCTTTCACACCCTGAAGAAACTTGTCCTGCGTCGTGTTGGTTTGTTCATGATGGTGGATGTTAGCCTTGGTTTGCTCAGCTTTCTGCGATGATTCAAATTCAGCAATGACCCGTGCTACTTCTGGACCTGCAACCATCCACCGTCGAAGTGCACTAGGGTTTCCAGTCAATCCGACTGCACCACCATCACCTTTGATGCAGACATTGTTCTGCTCATGGGCCTGGTCTAGTGCCATTGCAGAAAAACGGCGGGCTGTCTTTTTTGCTGTGAAATGTCCAGCTTGAAACTTTGCAGCCACATCAGGATGCTTGTCCGAGAGCTCTATTATGTCCTTCAGGTGGACTGGAACCCACCGAGAATAATGAGTATGATCCAAGGCGAAGAACCACTGACACAGTTCAGCCAGAGCATCCATGTATAGCGAGAAGTTTGATTCTCGTAGTGATCTAACAAACATAAAGATACTCTGCTCTAGGTTGAGGGTGGTTGCCCAGTACTGAAACTGGGGACAACATTCAGCCCTTTGATGACACCAGACACCAAACTCTAGGGGCTCATGACCATCACTTTGGGCATTTTCAGTGTATTTGCCATAAGCCTTGTGCTGTAGGATGTTCAGGGTTGCTGCTGTTATCTGATGGCCTCGCCTGGTGCGTGTGACGTGAGCAGCCTTTAGGAAAGAGTTTGCAGTTCCTTGGCTGGCAACATCGGCTTGCACCAGGGTTTCTGCCCACCCGCTGCCCTGCAACCAACTGCCTGCCTTCCTTAGAGCCGCCATTTCAATGTGGAGACCGGCCAGAATCATAATAAATTTCTCTTCGCCATAATTTTCGGGCCAATTCCACTGAATCTGTTTGGCTATTGCAAACAATGGTTGGTCCAAGATGATTACTGGGGTTTGACCATTTCTTTCTTCCTATAGCCTATTATTTCCCTGTGCTTCGCAGTATTAGATGGTCTCACAGGACTAAGACAGTAACGTGGTGAAACCTGAATTTTTTTCCTGGATCTGCCCCTGATTTATAGCGGCCACTCAAATCCAGTATCGAGTGGTTCCATATCTGAAAATGTTCATATACCATTACTCCATCGCTGTGCCAAATTTGGTGCTTTCATCATTAAATGCACAATTGTTATAAAAATTTTAGCTATTCCGCTCCACTACAACCGTGAAAGGAACATCAAGGTTGCAAGAGCAGTTAACAATGCCCTCAGTTCCTACACTGAGCTGTACAAGAAGTGCCGTAAACATCAAACAAATTTGGATGAGTTATTCACCCTCAGAGCAAAGCCTAAAGCAGATGATGATTTACAGGGCAGGGCAGAAGAGAGTAGTGCCCCTCCCTCTCCCTCCCAATAACTCCCTTTGCACCACCTATCCTCACACAGCAGTCAACATCTTTTGTGGGGAGTACAGTACAATATTTGTATTTAAACCAACTGTATTTCTCTTCATATTACATGTATATCATAAATTATTTAATATATGTGCTTATAAATGTTTATTTTCATTCATAAAAGTGCTTGAAATACTTTTTGGGGGCCGAAAAATATTTCTTAGGAACGCAACTCCAGTTTTATAATGGAATTCAATGGGAAATGAGGTTTTGCATTACGGAATTTCGTGATACGGTCAATTTTCCATAGACGCAACCCTTCCGTAACGCGGGAGATGCCTGTATAAGAATGTTGAGG